GAAGTCCGGGTAGTCACCGAACCACATTTCCGAGTAGACCTCATCGTCCTTGATCTCGAAGCCTGTGCCCGGCGTCCTGGCGCAGAGTTGAGCGGCCAGCGACTTGTTGCCCTTCCTCCCCCAGTCGTAATTGTTGCACGTGCCGCTTAACTGGAAAACTCGTGAAGTTGCCATGTTGATGGCAAGAGAGCTACAGGTGAATGACGTTCTTCGCCTTGGATCGGCACCAACTTGAAGAAACCGAAACTGGGTAGGGTATAACCGAATAGATGCGATGCGTGCGTATGCCAAAGTTTCAAAGCCTCAGTTACGATCAGAGGTAAGACACCGTTGCTCACAAGCAGTTCTTCAGTGGTGGATGTACGTGATTATCACCACCGCCATCATCATCATCATCATCATCCGGTCGTCATGTTGAATTATCAGTCCCTTGGTCAAAAATGCGGTATCGATGTCGTCACGGATGAGCTCAGCGGATTCTACAGTGGGTAAGATCTAAGACTTAGCGCTCTGGCACATGAAAATCAAGCGCTGTGGTGGGACAGTCTCGACTGATCTACCGCCGCTCACACCAGGTAGAGGTAGAAAGATATACAAGGGCAGTACAGTACATGACTCGAGCATGCGTACTGATATTCACACCCAGGCCAGCACAATAGCTCAGATAGATATATGTACTGACTGTATAGCACAGCACAGTACAGTACAGCGCTACATTCCGACTCCCCGTTCGCAAGGGAGGTGCATCTGGGCATTTAAGCATGTAGATGCTACGTAGATGCTAGACAAGCCCAGATGCTAGGCAAGTTATCCCAGCGCTGATCAGGCTAATACAGGTCATGATCCTTTCCACCACCTTCCGGCCTGCCTGCCTGTCTGCCTGTCTAGCCTGTCTCCCTAATTGATTCGTCGCAGTCTGCACTTGCTTCCCAGGAGGCGCGGCAGGGGCACCAACCCAGCGACCAGCCTCAAACCGCCCAACGATTCGATTCGGTTCGATTCAGCTGAGGCTCGTTTACTTTCAAGACGCCAGACCCGATAGGATATGGTTGTCCTTAGACTAGGACTCATCGCCGGCACGGTCCTGGTTGCTTCGCAACTCACATATAGAGTTCATGAAGAAGGCTACACTGGTAGGAGGCAGAATCTAGATAGTACCTACATAACATAGGTAGGTAGGTAGGTAGAACGTAGAACGCCGGCAAATGGCAGAACCTACCGAGGTAGGATGCATACGCTGTCCAGCACCAGCACCAGCACGGTACATTGTACAGTACGGAACTGACATTCATGACTGTAACAGCAAGCAAGCAAAGCTGAAGAGTTGGATATCCCGTCTCCAGTCAAATCTGACGATTAGCCACAGAGACAAAATGAGGAAAGCCCCCAAAAAGCAGGCTTTTCTCATCTCATCTCCGCGCCTCTGTTCCAGGCTCCTCTGATTTCAGAACCTGCCGTAGAATGCAGTAGTGTCCTGTCAAACGCCACCGGGAGCCAGACGAGCCAGCCAAAACCAGCATCGCCAAATCGCTCCAGGGCTGGTGGCATCGCCAGAGATGGGATGGGGCGAGATGGGGCCCAGATAGACCAGACGGGCAAGGCGCTAACGGCACTAACACCAGCCCAATGCGTCACAGCCGCAGCTCCATTAGCACACCCGCCCCGGCACAGTGGCGCCGTCGACGTCATGCGCCTTTACTTAGGTATTCAGCTACTATGAGGAGTATCACCACTGCCTACTATGTAGTGAAGACATGACAGCTTCAACCCATCCAGAATAGGAATTCCCATTTGTCTAGTAGGCCTTTAATGCTCACCTGGCTGCCAACTTTGCTCATCTGCAAGGCCGACTTTCTCTCGCTTTCTTTTCTCCGTCTTTCCTCTTCTCATCCACTTACACCTGCCCATCGTGATACCCACTATATTCAACACAGGTCTCTCCCATCCTACCCAAAACAGGTCACGCATTATCGTGTGCTACTTATTAAGAGTGGACTGTTCGGTGCTGGCCGCTGACTTGAACGAGAACTCCCTCACTCTCTCCAGCGCGGCACGGCTACGACCGACGAGTCGCGAACTGCCAACATGGCCTCAGGTGACACCGGCCCCGGCACAGGGATCAAAGACCTCCTGCCCATTCCCTCCGATACCCAACCCATCAGTGATCCTGCCAAGACAGAGACAGCCAACACCTTGATGGAGGATCCGTCGCTCTCCCACGCACTCGCAACCGACGACCATGACGAAAAGGGCCTTGCACAACAGGACCACGATGAAGAGGTCATGGATCTTGGCTGGAACGAGAAGAAGCAGGACATCCCTACGCCTCTGGTCGGAGGGATGGACAACGAAGAGCTATGGCTACTTGTCAGACGTTTCAACAAGGTGATTATGCCCTTTGCGAGACATTTGCTCTCATCTCCGTGGCCCACCTTCAAGATGAAAGCTAACGACACGGTCTAGCAAATGTATCATGTCAAGGCAATACCCAATCCAGTCCCCGGCGGCCTAGACCTGAATATCGCAGACGAAGAGGAGTTCTCTCCCGATAAGTTGAGGGCCAACATCGAGCGTCTGTACATGACGGTCATTGTTGGGATTCTCGGCGTCGTCAAGCATATTGGTCGATTGAGATCGTGGCGGGAGACTAGACGCACGGCAGGTTTCGCATCTGTAGGTCCTATGGTGTTGACTTAGCTCGCCTTCGTTGTTCTGTGGCCTTGATGTCGACTGACCGCACACAGGCGTATTTCATCGCATGGATCTTTGACCTCATTGTCCCACTCATCGCAGCCACGCTCGTCGCACTAATCGCCTATCCTCCCTCACGAGGGTTTCTATTTCCCCCGGCGCCGTTGGCACTTGTTGACTCGAAGACAGGAGGCGTCCAGAAACCAAAGTCTGGCGTCCTCGGGAGTCACGACAGCGCAACAGGGGCACCCGAAAACCACAAGGGCGAAGCGGTGGAACAGGAAGCCAGTAACTTCGTCAACGGCATCGCCTCTGTTGCACTTAGCAGTGTGACTGGCAAGCATCCTCAGGGGGAGCCAGATGCTGATGAGCAGGGGAACCCGGCTGACACCGCTCCCGACCCGACGGCCATCGCAGTCGGCGCCGCCGATGCGAAAGACGCAGCTGCCGGTGGCAAGCCAGGCGCTAAGCATGACAAGACCAAAGTGCCCATGGAGACCGCCATGTGGACAAAGATGAGACCGATCATGCATGGCATCGCTGACTTCACAGACACCTGGGAGCGTTTTGGAAAGTAAGTCTATCAATGTGTCCCCAGACAACCTTCACTAGGCAAGATGCTAAACTTCGCCAACAGTGCTCTTTCACCCACTCCTCCATTTCCACGAGACACCTATCGCTTGAGATTGGCCGGCCTTGTTCTTCCTCTTTTCGTCGTCTCCCTCTTCGTGACGTCCTACATGTACATGAAGGGCGTCACCTTTGGTATCGGCTTTGGGTTCTTTGGTGACCCTGTTATCTCGCGCGGTCTAGACCTACTAAACCGCAAATTTCCCAACTGGCAAAAGCTGCTTGAAGTGCGAAACACCATTCTCAAGGGCGTACCCACCAATGCACAACTCACCATTACACTACTCCGAATCGGCGAGGCCAACAAGGCACCCATACCACCACCACCCCAGATCAATGAGCCTCCGCCAGAAAAGCCGGCAGAGACTACTGATGAGCATCTTCGGGCCACTGGAGCGGAACCGCCTCTCAATGCCACCGACGAGGAGCTTGACGAGGCCATGCAGCACGACTCGAACACGGCACACGAGACCGGCGGTGATGACATCGATGCTGCGAAGAATAGCAAACATGGCAAGAAAGGCAGTAAGATCCTGGGCTTCTTCAAAGGCACCACAAAGGGCGCTGTGAAGACCGCTATTGGCACGGACACTGTTCGCGCGAAAATCGGCTCACATAATGCCAAAAACAGGCTCGGTGTGGTGCCACGTCCAGGTGCAGACCTAACGTCAGGTCCGGTAGAGTTCAAGGGACGGTATGGGGGTCAGAAAGGTCATGTGTACATCACCACCAAAGCGACAATACCAGCACTGGCTTTCAGCACGGACTCCACGATTGAGAAAATCGGTACACAGGAGCGGGAGGATCTGCATCCCATCTGGAGTATCGCCATCGCCGATATTGCCGAGTTGAAGAAGTTTGGTGGTTATGGCTGGAAAGCGAAGTTGGTAGTTGGTTGGTCACTCGGACGTGAGGTTGCGGACGGCTTGGAGATTACAACAAATTCGGGCGAAACTTGGAGGGTGACAGCACTGCCCTTAAGAGATGAGCTTTTCAATAGACTGGTTGCGATGGGTGGCCAAAAGTGGGAGGCGTGGTA